CCCTGCAGTCAGCACCAGTCTGTTTGCCACTTTGATCATCCACTGAACTTTTCAGTAACCAGAGTGCTGGAACATCCATATAACTGTTTGAAACTAGGCATGTTTCTTTATAAGGAGAGGCATCAGTCTTCCCATTAACATATCTATAGTTTTGCTGGAAGGATGATCCATCTTATACTAAAACATTCAAACCAAAACTGGTTTTGTCAGTGATGTTAAGGATATGTAAGCGTAAACTTCTCCCAAAAGCCCTACAACATGAGTTTCTAGTAGGTTCATTGTTTTGATATTACAAGCCACATTTTCAACTTGATAGATTACTCCATAAAAAATGAGTTTGGTAATAAATGCAGCATGCTCTAGTCACATACATATTCACATATCATGCCCCAGTTCTCTTACAGTGTGTAATAGCTCAACTAATTTACAAGTTTGACATAAAACCTATGGAATTCAATTGAAAGACTTGGACTGACATAAAGTTTCTACACTTAAAATAATAAACTTCCGAAATAAATAGTAGATTACTTCATACTGGCAACCAAAAAATTCTATCAATCCTGTAGCCTTTGTTTATACAACAGGTTACTCTCAAGAGTAAGTAATGCTCTATCAGATGCACAGTGGTGCGTGCTATCAGGAAAGCTCAGGTCACACACAAAGGATTGTACACCGCTATTAGTGACAGGCAAATTATTTCCATTTCAACTTTAAGAAACATAATACGTAAGCAAACCTACATCGAAACATGACATCATTTCACTATTTGGCCAGCAGGATGTGAGCTATGTCCACAGAGAGGATATCAGGTAACTCCATAACATTATTTTAAGTTTTTTCTCTCTGAAGTCATACTGCAGTTTCCTCTCTTTACACAGCGCAGTATTTTCTGATTTTATTTTCTTTATAAGAAGCACATTTGTAGCAGAAACTGTTCAAAATTTAAGCTGAGTCTCTATTTAGCCTACAAACACCTTTGCTCAAGGAGAGGTGCTGTTGCATTTGTTCTGTAAGAATCCTCACACCTCCAGCAGTACATATAGTGCTAGTCAGCAGTTTTACTTCTCTTCATCAGCAGGAAGCAAAAAGCACATATGAAAGCCTTCCGATACTTTCCTTTCACACGACAGTCAAAGCCCAGAGTAAACCAAAGGACTTCTTAAAATAGAAAGTTTACAATAAATTGCTTAGAATAAAAAACACCACTTAGATTGCAAATGCTGAAAGCACATTCATTTATATAGAGGCGTGGGGTATAAGTCGCCACATATTTGTGTCAGAGTTAAACTGTCATGTATTATTCTAGGTTGCATAAATGTTCTCTTTAAAATGTTTTTACTGCTGGTATTTTCTCTTCTAATTTCAGCAATCTTTCTATCCCAAATACCTCTGTGCTCATTACCCAGAATGTTTAGGTGCGATCACAGCAAAAGATTGTTACCATGTTTTATTTGGTTAGAGCCTTTAAAACGAAATACATATGTTTTCAATTAACTTGAATTTAGCTCTCACATCCCATTTTCTGTCACTCCAAAGGCTGAGGACACCCATTTCAGAAGAATATGTAGGAGAACCCTCAAGTAATTTTTTTTTTTTAAGCTTTATAAATCTTATAAATGAAAGCTGACATGTCATACAAGAAAAAACACCAAGATCAAACCTTTGAGCATAGAAAATGAGAAGAATTATGAAAGGAAATGTTATCACCTAATCCTTTATTCCTTCAGCTGTGCCTATGGACCAAAGACAGCTTCAGACTGAACTAACTTCCCACATACCTCATGACAGCTTAAACTATGCATGAAGCCCAAATGATTAATGCATATACCATATCCTGTAAAGCAGACTAGAGCTACACATCATATTTCTGATAGCATTGTAACATTATATTGCAACTGCTTTAACTTCAGCTTAAGAGTTTGTCAGAAACCTGCAAATACACTAACTCTATTCCCTGTGTCTTTACGTACAAAGTTCTGGTGTAAATAACTATACACTACTGAATATATTGCTTCCCTGTGGTCACGCAAGTGCTGACAAGACCAGAACCCCAGGTAAATGGGAGCTGTTAGCAGCATATGGAAGCTCTCATTTCAACAGGAATACCTAGGCTGTTCGCAAACATTCTTTCCAATTAGGAACAGCAATTTCAGGTAGACAGTATAGTACTTTTTAGAATGAGATTTGACATGCAGAGGAATACCTTCTCTCAGACCAGATTCAGAGCCAAGACCAAGGAAGATGGGACAGGCCTGTACCGAGTCTGGTAAGTTCTGATTACATATTTAAAATATATTATTTTATTCCTTTATTTACAAAGGAGTCAAAAGATGTTAGTCTCTGCTATTCATCATTTAGGATCACAAACACTTTGCTGTTGCTGCTCAAATGACAGTCCACAAGTACTGCAATAAGATTAGAAGTCCCTGAAAAATAATCACACAGATGTGCAATAAAACATCTACTAGCTAGATATACTCCAAATTTTAAAACAAACTAGGTTCCACCAACATGATATAGTATACTTACTACCTGATTTTGGGATAAGAATCGAAAATAGCATCCTTTTATATTCCTCATCAGAATTTAGGGCCAGCTTTCCATGCCACTTTCTAACTCATGTTTTCACAATTTCACCATTCCTTACAACAGATGCAAAAGATCAGGATTTTCATTACAGCTCAATGCACAGTTCCCCCTCTATACTCGATTGGCAGGTTCATGTATACGCAGGTATACGCAGAACATGCAAATTAAGATTTACACATTACTTTCACAACAATAACAATTATAACGGTCAGCACTTTTACCACTTCCGTATTAACTGTTCTTCTCCGCAACTTTACAGTAGCTGACAAAATCAAAACACAAAAAAAAAAACCAAAACAGTTCAGCCTTGCTATGAAGACCAAGTATTTTCCTGAAGTTTAAGACCTCTTCCTCACAGCAAAACTGTCAAGAGTTTGACCACTGACCAAGGTCAGACAAACGTCAGAATTAAACCTCATGCTTGCATCAAGTTATATAAATATGAAATAAGAGAGGTTTGACAACTTACTGGCGAGAGAATTTCTCTGCAAAAATGTTTATATAAAGTGTAGGACAGGCAAAGCTCTGATTAAAGTCAATAAACAGACTCCCAAATCACCAGCTGCCCTCTTCAGCATCTTGTGGCCCGAGTCCAAATTGTAGGTAGTTGAAATACTCTGCACAAAGTACACCAGTCAACTGAGGTTTCAAGTAACAACTGCTTTCATTGCACTGTTAATAATATGGCCAAGTTCTTAATGAGACTACTTGAACAAAAAAAAAAAAATCTGAAAGCCCACCATGTTGGGAGTAGAAAAACTGTATCTTTGTCTATGCGTGAGTTTTAAGAACATATACCTAAAAACTTAGATCACCTTTCTACGTAACCGGTGACTGGATTGATGAACATCATGAGTGCAAATAAGAAACCACTTTAGAAAGTCTGGTTCCATACTTCACGCTACTTAGAGCCAGGTCAATTTTAAACAGAAAGAACTGAATGGAGAAAGAAATACAGTATTTAATGGAAGTTTTGTAAGACCAACTTTTATAACTTACGTATTACACATCTTCACACAGTTGTCATACACTCATTTTATTAATCATTTTAAAATCATTAAAAAGAGAAGTCTCTACACTTACCACTTTGGGGTTCGTCAGCCCTGTCAAGTATATGCATTTCACTGCAAGTAATCTGGATTTACCCCTACAGAGCAGGTTATCTTAACTGAAGGCATTCTGTAAGTTAATCACGATAGGTAAATGGACCGATGTGAGAAAGCGATGTGATAAATGATGCGGACAGCACCCGGCACAGAGCTCACTGTCTCCTCCATCTCACAAGCAGATCCAACAACAAGTGGTCAGTTCCACCGATGTCAACGCAACTTCTCACAGCTGCTTATAAAATGGAAACACATGAACTCCATCCAAGACAATTTACTAAAGCAAAATCCTCACTTTCTTCAGTGCTTGACTTCAAATCTAAGTGTAAAGGTCTTAGAAATGGGTTTTCAGCTAATGACACTAATTTCCTTCACGAAAACATCTCAAAGCACATAGAAGAAATAAAATGGAGCAGACTATAGAAATTCTGCTAAGTCTACAAAAAGTTATTTCTACAGCATAGTAGGATGTTTGAACTTTGTTTTTCATCATTTGTTGTATTTTATTCATTTCAATGTTGTTGCAACCACTTGTCTTTCAAAATAACAAAATATTTAAATTGTGACTATCTTTAAAAAAGTAATTAATTTCAATCAGTGAGGATACACAGCTCTTAAAAGCTAGGCGTGTTTATTGGGTCTCTTTCTAAAATGCAGCAATAACAACACAAAAAAAAAAAAAAAACCATCAGCTTAAGATCTTCCTTAATTTTTAATTTGTTATAATTAAACACATGCGAACTGAAGGCTTTGAAAAGCTTTAGGAGCTATCAGATTCATTTATATTGAGCCTATCTCTTCATCTGGGGTCTTTTCCAAAGTTTATGGAAAAGGATCTAAGAAGCCTTCCATCAATAAACAGGAAACTTTAAAATCTTTAAAGCTACAGACAGGGTACATTAGGAACATGGAAATTAAATTGGAGACATTCTCCTCCATTCTGCTGACTCAAATATAGGCAGGACAAGAAACATACACAATTCCTCTCTGATGTAAACAGAAATCTACCTAGGGACAAACAGTTTACATCTACCAACCACAGAGCAGGATCAAGGCCAAGAGTTGCTTCTTGATACCTTACACCAACACTCAAGATGCACTTCTCCTCTACTTTTTTAATCTACCCAACCCCTGCTGGACAGACATATTCCGGTTAATTCACTTGCTAAAGGAATAATGCTTACACCAGACTTGTTACCTTTCATTTCACATAAAACATTATTCCTTTTCCAGAAATAGTTGAAATAGCACTGAAACTACCTTAGTAATTTGCAAAGTGACTTTTCACTAAATGTATTGACCCACCATTCATTCCATTGTATATACTTCTGTGGTGAGGTGACAGGTCATCTGTTACTTGTCTCCTGAGGGTACCTTCTCTGCTGCCTCCGCTGAGATGTTTGAGATGCTCTGGGCTCCCTCCGTAGTGTTGTTTGAGATGCTCAGGGCTCGTACCCCTCACTTTGTGGAGATGTTCTGTACTTCCACTTGGCGTGTGTTTTTGAAGATGATCTGGGCTGCCACTGCTGTGCTTTTGATGCTCAGGGCTACTACCAGGCCTCTGCTTTTGAAAGTGTTCAGGACTACTACTCAAAACATGCTTTGGGATAGTTTCTGGACTGCTGCTGCTGTGCTTTTGTTGTTCAGGTGCTTTGACAATGGTTTTGTGATGTTCCGGACTCGGTCCTTTCAGGTGATGATCAGGACTGCCAGAACTCCTAGGCTTCTGAAGGTGCTCTGGGCTGATACTCCTGTGTTTCTGATGCTCAGGGCTTCCTTCACCCCGAGTTTTTTGAAGATGTTCTGGACTAGTACTTGGATGATGTTTATGATGGTCTGGACTGTCTGTACTTCCCGTGCTAGAAGTACTACTCCCATCACCGACATCTCTTATGTAAGTACTCGTTGCGGTTAACTGGCACAGGCTGATTTGGCTGTCGATAGAGCTCCGGCTGCCTGCTCCACCACTTTTCTCCTCATCCAGCAACACACACAATTCTTTCAGCTCCAGGTTTTCCTTAACCACTTCTTCTTGTCTCACTTCCAATTCTTTCAGCTTCTGTAAGTATAAGGCAACCTCTTTGTGCATAACACTAGCACTGTATCTGCCCAGTCTCTGCCATTCACGGGACACCTTCTTGCCTTTCTGCCTGTCATCATCCAGAAAGCAGCAAAGGTCTCTCAGTTCTTGGTTATCTTCTTGGAGCTTCTGGTTGATATCCTTTAAAAGAAAGATAATCATGACAGAGGAGTGCCTACAAGAATTAACATTACACCATTACCGTTATACAAGCCCGTGAACAGCACTGCTATAAGCCCATCATCTAAGCACACAAGTGAGGCATAAATAATTACGTGTGTTGATCTGGCACATAACAACAGCATCATGCTTCAAACAAACAAACAAACCTGCTGTCCAGGTGTGACTATAATATGGAGCTAATCTTGAAGGGTTCAAAGACTAACTTCTGATAGAGCATAAAAGTTTCAGGTGCTTAATTAATTTTCATGCTAAATATCAGAATAATTTAGCTCCCAAACTGGGCAAAGAGCATAAGCACTCTCATGATGATCTCACTCCCCTGAGAAATATTCACCTGCGAATTACTGCTGAGTAATACTGCAAGGTACATCAGAAATTGTAATCTCACTTAAATAATTAATTATTAACATTTATACTCTCTATTCCCTAAAGCATATTCACATATAAAGATGAACTTTTTAGAGATTTTAAATATTTGGGGTTTGTTTGATTTTGTTTCAGATTTGCATAAAAGTATCTTGTCAGTCATCACTTAATCAGAATTGCTTCAACCACTCTGAAATGAAATAAACTGCTTTAATAGATTTTTCACTCCTTACAAAATGAAGCACCATACCCTTCTTTAAGTGAGGAACAGTCTGAAGCAAAAATGTTCAAGCCATTACTATAGCAGAATACCACGCCAAAGAAAACCTCTTCAGTATTTTATCCTCCTAGTTTTACTAAATTGGCTTGCAACCATATTTATCTTCCTCCCATCTAAATATTCATTCCTTCTTATGTATGATATTAGAAGTAGAGATTAGCCACAACTGTTAAAAATTTAGCCTTATGGAAAAACCATTTTAGCATTGTTTCTTAAGAAAAGAAAGCTGTTGTAACTCCACTGGATTTGTGTGCATGCATGTGTTTGTCTCATCTTTGCCTCAAAATAACTTTAAACTTGACCAATTTCAACCTATATTTGACAAAGGAGAAATCTCAATGAGTCTACAAGGTATCCTTAAAAATCTGTGCTGGTGAGAGATACTTAAAATGACCCCATGGTGGAATAAAAAAGTTTGAGTGGAAGCCCACAATTCAACAGTCAGAAGCAGTAGGCAGCCAGCCACCACAACCAGGCACGGCTGGTCACTGTTACTCATGGACCAGTTATTTCACACAGGACAAAGGAGGTGGATGTCCAGACACCAACACAGGGCTCAAAACCTAGTTCTCCCAAATTCCTTTTAAAAGTTCCAGCTGAGGCATCTGAACAAAAGGCGGAAGTTAAACATCACTTAAAGAGTTCAGAATTGAGAGAGGAATTTGTCACTCCTTCCTACACATCTTGGTGTGTTTTGTTACTTATCTGGATGATGCATAAGTCCGTATGGTGTCACAACACCTTTGCACATAACTTGAGAAAGATACTATTGTTGTAATTTAACTTACATTTAAAATGTAAGCTTTGTTTTTACTAAAGTACTATCACTGATGGGTCATCTTTACCCCCAGACACCATATATTGTCAAAAAGAGGAAGGGGACACACACACACTCTCATACTTCGCAGAACAGGAAAACTTGGGAGACAGGAAGAGTCTTCCCCCACATACTATTTATTTTATGCCACACTATTATCAAAGACACTTTCTCAATAATTTAGTTGTTTAAAGCCATTCTACAAGTCAAGAACTCTCTTCTAATGTACGTAACTCTCACGTAATAATTCCAAAGCCCACACTGCATCTCTGTCTCTCCTCTCCTTCCCGCCAACCTCCCTGAAGGAATTTCCTAAAAACAATGTCCTTTTTCAAAGCAACAAGACAGAAAATGTTTTGTAGTCATGCCTACTTTAAGGTAACTTTCTAGGTCTACACGTGTACATGCTACATCAGGGTAATTATCTGTAAGTAGTCACACTATCTTCCCAATCCTTGGAACTGGGAAAGAAACATTAGTGACTATGCTTCTCATCCAACAAAAGAGTTAACTTAAGAAGGGATAAGTCATTACCGACTTGGTCTGCCTCTCATTGTAGTCTGCAGAAGTATGCAATCGAAAACGGTTTGATCAGAGATGTGTTATCAGACTTTTTTTTCAGACAATAAACTAGGGATTGGTTCTGATCATCCTGAAACTGAGCCTTCACCTGTCATACGCTGCACTGCATCCTGGAAATGACCAGCTCTCTCCAGCAGCCTACCAGACTGCTTGGCAGATGAGTAAGTCATCTTAAAATAGTGACAGAAAACAGCGTAAGCTACACAAAACCTTTTGAATGTCTATAGCTCTGCACACTATTCTTTCACCTGCACTTCAGACAGGATCATTTAACCTTACTAAAAACCAATGAAGTCTAACACAAGAGTGACAAGACTTAAGTGTTTTCATCAACACAAAGCATACTGGGGCAGAGCATACAACAGCTGTGCTCCACAGCCTGCCGAATAGTTGGTGATCTCTTAACTGCACACTCGATTTTCAAGCGAGATCAAACGCTATTCACTCCAGTCCTTGTTCACTTTTCATGCGATTCTCGGTAACGGCTCCTCCCAGACCATCCACCTGATGAGATTGCTCCCGGCGGGACGGGCGGGGGACGCGGAGACACCACAGAAGCTTCAGGGGTCCCACCCTGCCCACCCCGCTACCTTCAAGCCGCGGATCTCGCCGAGGTGGAGCTGGAGGCGGCGGTTCACCTCGCGGATGAGGTTGCTGTGGTCCAGCATCGCGCTCATCTTCTCGGCCTCGGCGCGGCGGAGGCTGCGGATCAGCTCCTCCTTGCTCCACTTGAGCAGCTCCTCATCCGACACCTTGGACAAGTCCTCGGCCGGCGCCGCCCCGCAACTTTCCGCCGCC